AGGAGGCTCAGGAGGCCCAAAATAAAGTGATAAGACATGCTAGGTTAAACCATTCATGCAAAATTTCCAGACTAAATGTAATGAAAAATCAATTTCAATATTTGCTGATCAGAACTGATCCAGAAATTTCGTCGATCAACTTCATAAAACACAAATCTTCCAATGGAAACCCCTTGTCTGAACAAGTTCTTAACTTGCTGAAACACTAAGTTTAGTTTTTTTGTTTAAATCTAAATTATATTGTTACATGTTATATATGTTATATGTTACAACATACAGAAATTGTAGATATTTGTTTCTGAATAATGTAATCTTTATTGTTTTCACTGTTTACTGACAAAATCGGCTGTTATTAAAGGATTATATGTAGAGTGTTTAAAAACATTGAAAATTTGTCACTTTTTATTTAAATAAACTATATATATATTTATGAATTTGTCTCTATAAGTACAATAAAAAACGACAGAAAAGCATGTTGAGAAAGTGGGAAAAAAATTTAGAATTTGCAAATTTGCAAAAATATTTTGAAAAAAGTGTGCAAAATTATTTCCTGACTTTCGGGTTGGGTTACTGATTAAATTTTAATATATTTAGAGCCAAAAAAGGTTGAAATCCATTCAGAAACACTGATTTGAGGGTTTTTGCCGTTTTTCCGTAGCGTGAGGCACTGTGCGGCTGCTTGATTTAAAAATTTGGAGAAATTTTTTATGCCAAATTTGTACCAGCATTAATCAAAAAAACTGTTAATTTTTTCAGCAATAATTGATTTGTCATAAATATATTTTTCATTGTTTTTTCAAATATATTTTTTATAGTTTTTATAAGTCATTTCGTTTTTATAAGTTTTTTTTTAAGTATTTATCATATAACTTTTGTTTTCTTTTTAAGGGTTTTAGTAACCCGTTAGACATCCATGGAGTCATAACTATTTTTTTGTTCATAATCTTTTTTTTTTCAGGAAACGTTGTTTCATATTGCTTGCAGAATTGACTTGTAAATAGACCTTATGAGTTTTTAGCATCGTTTGATTGCAATACCAGATTCCAATCAACTTTGTTTCTTAAAAGATTTTGAAATTGTTTTTCACGGAGTTTTCATTGATCTGTCGGCTCTATACGGTAGTTTTAGAAGGAATGTTGTTATTTATTATCTTATTAATAACTAAGAATGGATCTGATAAGTCAGTTTTACTTATACCTGTGTTAAGACGGTTTTGACGAAAGGTATTAGTTATTATATTATCAAGAAGTGTAGAAGAGTTGTTAGTCACGTTAGCTTGTTTATTGTTGAAATTAAGTTATTTTGAAGAGGAGTGTTATGAAAATTTTTTGCACTATTATTTGAAGCATGTTTTTTTAGGTCCATGTTTATATCCCCAACCAAAAAGACAAGACCTCGCGTTTTATTGAGAGTTGTTATGAATGATTTAAGATAAGTTTTAAATTATTTTAAATTACCTGATGGTGGTCTAGAGAAAAATGGGGTCAAATGGAATAGTTAAGGATTTTAATTACTTATTTTTTATGGAAAAAATCAAAATTTTTTTTTTTTAAAGTTGTAGAGAATATTGAGCTGTATTTAAATATATAAAAATATTTTTTTTCAAGTTTTTTATAAAACTTTATTTGATTAAATAAAATTTGTTTCATTCTACACTCACATTCGGGGAGAATGAAATACGCAAATATACGTTTAATTAAAACAACAATTTATTGAAAAAACAAAAAGCAATCAATAATAACAATTAAAATAACAAATAATAATAACAATTAAAAAATCAATCAAATCAAATAAGCTTTTTTTATTCTTGTGATAATGTTTAGTCGTTTAGAGGTACTAGAGGTTGAATTGAGTTTTCAGTTGTGCGGCACTTTTTGGTGCAATAAAACTCAGCGTCATAGCCAAACCTTGCAATTTAAATTTTCACACTGGTCCATTTCATATTTTGACTAGCTAAGCTTTTCCTAAAACTTTTCGGCTTTTTTTACTCTCAAATAAGTTTGCAGCAAATATTTTTGTTGGACTTGTTGCTTGGTTTGTTTGCTGTTCGCCATTAGAGCTAATGTTGCTTTTTAGCTTGCTTTGCGAATGTTGCTTTTTAGCAACTTTGACTGATCAATTTTATTGATGTCAAGTGAAGACAAGCCAGTATTCTGAAACCCGTTGACTATTTGGGTATATTTCACCAAAGCTGAAAAGTTTATTTTGCAGGTGACTAAAACATTCTTTTGATAATTTGCTGAACTTTGTCTCTGCATAAAACTGTTGAAGTAATTGCGCCAAACTCTTTTGACACGACAAACACTGACATCTAGTCGCTGCATAATATGTGACGAGTGAGCCGGTAAGCAAATTAACAAGATATTGTTTTCGATGCAAATAAGTACGACCTGATGAATGACAAGTGTCACATGTCCATCTACAACTAAAATATGAATACCTAAAATTAGATAACAATAATTAAATTGATGTAATCTTTTGTAAATTTTAAATCAGATAAATATAATTAGATAATTAAAAGTAGATTGAGCTAATTAACTGAAATTTCCTTAATGGCGGGAACATACACGTTAGTGACCCATTGCACAAATTGTTGCCAACCAATTTCAATGGTCGTTTTGCACCACGCAAACTATATTTTGCTTACCTTGATCACCGGAGAAAGCCAATTTTATCAAAATTCCACAAATGACATAGAATGTTTTCGTTGATACCTGCTTCGTTGAACTCTCTTTGCAGGGTGTTGAAATACTTTGCTACTATTTCTTGCGAGCAACAAGTAGCTCTGAGTGATGAAATATTGTCTATGACTCTGATTAATTAATAAAAAACAAATTTAACAAGAGAGTTCTGCAATTTTAATACTATAAATGCTATAATGATGATTCTGGTCAAATCCCTTAATAAACAATTTGTTAACCATAGTGCAAAATTTTAGACTCAAATTCTGACTAGTTGTTGAGAAGTATTTGTTTAAAAATGCAGTTAAAATTAGAAATTTTTGCTGACTCAGCATGTTTTTTAGTATATTCAAAGTTTTTTTTAGTATATTTAAAATACTTGCTCTAAATGCTTTTTTAATACAAATAGTTTTTTACAAATATTGTATTGACTTTCAAATATTTGTTGATTAAAATATCAAAGTCATTCTTGTCCCTGAGAATGATATTTTCATCAAAAAATTTAATTATTAGGTTTTCCTACAATTTTTTTTGTTTAATTGTTGTTTTTTTAAAATAATAATAATAATAAAAATATAAAATAAAAAAGATTTACCTTTTAATTTTAAAGAATTTTTTAAAACTTTTACTTTATCTTTCTAATCTAAAAGTTTTATCATGATTGTACGTGGCTTATTTTGCATCTTTGCGTCAACAGCAAAGCGCTCGTTCAATTTTAAAATTTTTAACCCCGAGGAATTAAAACAACAGACTGGGTTTAAATAAAAAAGGTTATTGGTGGACTGAATAAATAAAATTTTGAATTAAAAAAAACCATTAACTGGTTAACCAGAACTTCCAGAAATCAGTTCCTACTATTTTTTTTCAAATTTTTTTTCCTCAGATTCAACAAAATCAATTACCTAAAGAAAGTCAAAGCTTATATAGCTACAGACATTGTTGGTGAATTTTATTCAAAAATTTGTGACCGGCTTTATATCAATATGGATGACATCGAACTGTTTTAAGAAACAATGTTTGGAAAATAAGTATATATTATTTGAAAAATAAAAATACTGATTTTTATTAATAATTTGTATTGTAAAACAATTGAAATTATTAATACAAATACGTTTGCTTTGTTCGTTATAACATATCGTTTAGTCAGTCATTTGAGAAAAACACATCTCCAAAAGCGTTAAGAATTTTTTTTTATGTCAAAATAAAAATAACAAAATTTTATTTTGATAGAATTAACGTACCAAACTACTGCAGAAACATATAAACAAATTCAAAAATATTGACCAGCTGGTTTTTTCAAATTATGGATCAGCTGGTTTTACTGGTATGGCATGCTGGTTTTTTCAAATTATGGATTTTTGCTGGATTTTTTTTTTCAGCTGGATTTTTTTTTGATTTTCAAAAAGTTTACTTTTTTGGATATGAGGGGGATTCTCGAATAACCGATTCAATTATATATGAAGTTTTGATTGGCTTCCTATCGGCCAAATACTAAAATTCTTAAAGTACAAATGCAAAAAAATATTTATAATCTTTCTTTAATTTTTGGTTATAAAATTAAGAAAATTAAGAAAAAAAAGTAAAAAATCTGAATAATTTTTGAAAGAATATTTTCATGTCTTAATTATCTTGATTTTTGCCTAATTTATTATAATATATATAATGTATGATATAATATATATAGAGCCGCCGTGGCGCAGCGGTTAGAGTTCTGGCTCAGAACCCAGATGTCAGGAGTTCGACGGCAGCTCTAGCTCAACAAGTGACATAGGTATGGAAGGAGGCGTGAACTTCTTGTTAAATGCTCTTCCGCGGTGCTCTGTGATAAGACCAAAAAGACTTCTGGGAGCAGCTTAAATAACTACAAAAAAAAAAAAAAAAAAAAAAATGTCTTATTGTTTAATAGTTCTATGTTTATATGTTATAATGTTTTATGTTTATCATGTTATAAACTGTAAAAAAACAGTAATAAAACAACATAGCAAGGCTGTTTTAAATTTTATATTAATTTATTCGATAAAACAACCTCGCATTATTCTTTTATACAGTTGTTTTATTCGCTTTCAAAATAAAACGTGTTTTATCGTCAGTATGAACGGGATAACAATATAACAAATAAGTAACAAACTTTACAACACCAAATTTTGAGTTTGCACTATCCATCAAATTTAAATTTTATTATAAATTATGCGTCTGCCCTTAAATTAAATGCTAATAAATTGCAAATTGCATAAATCAGTTTATCTCATCAACAAAATGTATTAACTTATAAGTTTTTTTTTTTTGAATTTTAAATGTAATAATTAATTTTGCTTTTAGATAGATAAATCTGGATTGGGTCTATTAAGAAAGGAGCTATACTTTAATCACAGTGAGGTAAATAAGTTAATATAATATAATAATGATTTTAAATGAAGTTTAAAATCATAAAACACAGATCTGTGTTTTATTATTTTAAACTTTATTTAAATTAGATTAAAATAATTTTTAATTATATTAAAATAAAAAATAAATTAATTTTAAACTTCATCTATATAGCTTAAAATAAAAAAAACAAAAACTTTATATTGAATTCCTGTTGGTTAGAACTTTGCCGAACAGTGCTTTATGTCGTAATTTCATACAATTGGGTGGCCAAAAATAGTTTTAGAGAAAATAATAACTTTTACTTTATTTTTTTAAACTTTTATCCATTTAAACAAACAATTTATTAACTTACTTCAAACACCTTGACGGCGCTATGTTTTGATCCAATTTTAAGAGTTTTAGTATAAAAGTACCAGTTTCTGAATTACTATTATTATTTTTTTAGTAGAAGTGCTTAATTAATGAAAATATTTTAAACTTTCTTGGGCCCTAATGACTGTTTTTTTAAGTCTCCGAACTACTAGCCACATCACTGATTACATTATTTATTTATTTTATCCAAAAATAAACCATTACCCTCACAGACCTAATTAGGAAATTGTGTAGCATAAATACTTAAGAGAACAATTATATTTATATAAAAGGTTACAAGTTTCTTTTAGTTTTTAAAAAGATAAGAAATTATTTAAAATTATCTTTTGAAATTGCATTAGAAATGCAGAGGAAAACTTACTTTTAAAAAATTCTGCTAAAGTAATAATTTTTCAAAATTTTTACTTTTATTATTTATTTCACACGTCAATGTTTTTATCTTTTAAATAATCTTCGTTAGTAGCTTCCAAATCTTTCATTATTTCATCTTCTAAATAATTATTTTCTGTTGGTCTCAATGATTCTAGCTCTGGTGATTCTAGTTCTCACAGTTTTATTGATTACTTATTATCCACTTCTAAAATTAAAAAAGTTTTTACTTCTTCTAACTGCTTGACCAGAGCATTCTTCATCCTTCGAGATTCCAATGAGATAGAACTGATAAGAGGATCTGAATGTGTGGTTAAGAAAGATAAATGTACCTTTTTTGTTGTAAATCCACTTGGAAATTTCTTTTAACAATCATTGCAGTTGGTGTAACTCCGTCAGCTCAACAGCATTGCGTTAACGACGTATTTGGTCACAATTGCTAATGCTAAAACCTTTTCCCGTAAATCATACACAAAAAAACTGAAACCAATAATAACAAACTTTCTTTTAACCAATTCAATATTCACTGGATGCAAATCCATAATTTCATTTTCTATTTGACGCTGTTTGTCTAAAACGGAAGTTTCTTTGATGAAATGAAGTTCAATTGGCCTACAAAATCTAATACTAACAAGCTTCATGTTGGTCCACAAAAAGACATTTTGTAAATTTGACACACTGAGCCTCAAAAGGTGTTGTTACAGTTGTAAACATACGTAAATCTTGTCTATCAACAGAACCACAAAAACACTTCGTTGTACAAAGCTTGTCCGCAGATCAATCCATACCCTAACTGTTTAATAGCAACATATTTTTACTTAGTTTGTTACTGATATCCAAAAAATACATTATTTCTTTTTGCCTCATTTTCACAATTTTATCAGCGGTGTGATTCATAAGTGCTTGTAAATCTACTTAATTTAAATCACTGACTTTTTTTCGGGCTATAAGTCATGATTTTTCAATTGAATCAAAATTTTAATTAGCTAATGCAAATAGTTATCTATATAAATGTTAATCATCAATAGTAAACTATTATTTTCAATTGATTATTGAATACAAAGTCTAATCTAGACTTTTGATCAATTATTACTTGGGAAAACAAAAAATTGAAAATTAGCTATAACCCAGGAAACGCAAACTTCAATAGAAGCGCAAACTTCGATAGAAATTTCTCGCTTAGTCGCAAAAAGTTGCAGATATTTTTTTAATTTCTTATTACACTCTATTCCACGTTGTTTAATAACAGTTTTGAGTCATTATTTTTGACTTGGTCGTCATCCTTGTCGCGGCCTACGTGGCCTTTGTTTGCAAAGTGGAAGCATACATTTTATCATCTAAATTCCTAATCTCATAAACTATTTTGGGAAAAAAAATCTTCAAATTTTTATGAGTTAGTGCCTCATTAATATATATAGTATATATATATATATATATATATATATATATATATATACTATATATAATTCTGCACCCCACTTTATATAAAGTGGGGTGCAGAATTATAACCTCATCTGTATAGAAACCTTAAAACTTTAATAATAATAACTTAAATCTTTCAAAGTTTGTTGATCAAATTCTATTAGCAGATCATTTCTTGAAATAAACAAAATAATTTACATAAATCTATTTGTACTTTAATTTTCTAAAAAAAATAAATCGAAAATTTTATTTAAAACAGTGGTGCACAATCATGACCTCGCATCTAAATTGCAAAAAGCCATCAAAAAATAGTAGTAAATTCCATTTTCAAATTAAATTTATTACATTTTAAAATTATAACATACATTCTAACGAATGCCAAGAGAAATTACACTCTCCAATGAAGAAAAAGGCAAGATCAAAGCCTACAGGTCATTGCATTTATCAAATAGGGCCTTGTAAACTGAGACGCTCACCACGTTTGATCAATAATTTTGTAAATGATCCTAACAAACTATTTCACGAAGCATCGAAGTGGTAGAAAACCTAAACTTACAGCTCGACAACAGCGACGAATTGTGGATGCCGCAAGTAACTGTACAATCTCCGCAAGACAAATAGGCGCTGATTTGGGATTAAAATGCTCAAGATGGACGTTGAATCATGAAATTAACAAGTTAGGCGTTGTTATATATGGAAAAAAACGCACGTATCCAGCACTAACTGAAGCGCACAAACGCATTTGTCTTCAATGGTTCAAGGACCACATGACTAAGGAAAAAAAATGGCCAAAAACTGAGTGGTCCGATGAAAAAAATTCAATTTTGATAGTCCAGATGGCTTTAATTAGAAAAGAGAAAATATTTTCAAAAAAAAGGGCTGTGGGAGTAATGATTTGGAGTGCGTTCGGTTATTTGGCAAAAACTTCGGTTGGCTTTATTACTACTAGATTAAACGCTAAAGGATATAGAAACTTTTGAATGGTCATTTGAATCAATTTGTTGATAAAGTTATCAGCAATGATTGCTTTAGAAATTCCAAATTTAAATACAATATGGGAAGTAGTATAGCATTTAATGATTACCTATCTGATGGGATGATAAAATTTAAATGAAAAATTCTTATCATAATTTTTGACTGAATGCTACTAAGTTTTTTTAAGGATATAGACATCAAATGTAGCCAAAACTTTCATTCGTTACTGGTGTATTGTTATACTGTTACTATGCGTTAAACAAATAAAACGTCAAATATCACAAATACCTTGCAAACTGTTATTATTAATCAATAAAAGAGAGAGATCTGATTATTCAAGTTTAAGAGCAAATGAAAAGTTATCCCTATGGCTAATGAGTATAAGCAAACAAAACTTGTGAAATAAACAACTTTTGATGCAATTTGTTGCATCGAAAGTTGTTTGTTTCACAAGTTTTTTGTTTGCATATATTCATAAAGCAAAAAGTCTATTGAAATCACCTTGTTACTTTTAATTGTTATAAATCAAAGACAGCTTGTAGCAAGGTGACTCGGTGACAATGTAACTTAAATGGAGGTTCCAGAATTGATATTAACAACTATAGACCAACTTTCATTATAAATTTTAAACGTAAATTAAAGTATGTAAAAAAAGACATCACTCGATACAGCTGGAACGCTGTTTATGCAGCGCGCTGTATTTATTAACAAAACGAAAGTAAAAAAACAACTTTTTCATCGTCTTTCCAAGAATTTATTTATTCGCTGCGAACTCTGAATAAAAATGAATCCAAAAATGATTTTTACCTAGAGTGCTTTTTAACTAGGAATGTTTTTTTCTACTTAAAGAGCAAGTTATTGAAATAATAACATAATAAAAATTTTCTATTCGATGTTCAAAGCATCAAATTTTATAAATGTAATTAGCGAAACAGCTTAAATAACTCCACGATTAAAAGTTAAAGACTGTGGTATAACAATTTTACGTATATTAAATTTGTTTTTATATCTTATTTCTATTTATGCATGACAGTTTATTTTTTAGATTTTGTTTATAATTGTAGATATACAATATTTTTAATTCTATATTGAAAAACAAAATGCATAAAATTTTATTTTATAAAATAAATTTTTAAAGGCATTGTCCTTTTTAGTACAGAATAAAAAATAATAAAAATGTATAACTTCTTAAAAGTTTTTTTAATAAAATATAAAATTTTTAATGATAGTACGAAATGAAATTGAAATTTTAAAACCAATAAAAGTATAAAATAATTTCAAAGCAGAGATCTGTAATTTCTTCAGATCTGTAATTAATTTTTTTAGAAGGTCTCTCCTTCTTTAAAAATGAACTACCGATCTAAAGAATATTACAGAGTACTTTAAAAACATTGATTTAATAAATATCCTGAGCATGAGAAAAACAAAACTAATAAAAAAAATTTGGGGGAACAATTGTGTAAAATACACACAAGAAAACATTGTGCAAGTATCTAGGATATTGATTGGATTCCACACCAACAAATCTCACAACAGATTTCCAAACTATATCTGATTGAGAAAAGTAAATTAAAGAAAATAGAAATCATCACTGGGAGATTTAAACATCTTGACAAAATTTTAGGATGTTAATTTTGTTAAAATGACTTTTTTACATAAATCATGTTTTATTATCCTATGCTTTGAGGTACCCAGCTAGAACACATACATTGATAAAACGTTAGAACAATGTTGTGCGTTTTGTTGGTCCAATATTGGCTGCCAACATTGTTTTTATATCATTTTGGTTGCAAATGCAATGTTCAACAACAAAATAAACAACAATTGCTTAATGTTGTATTTTAAGTCGGCATTACAATATAATTTACATTGTTTCAACGTTGTATTTTACGTTGGTACCACGTTGTATTTTACGTTGGCAAAACATTGTATTTTAAGTTGATATAATGTTATATTTTATGTTTGTACAACATTAAATTTGATTTTTTTGTAATTAAATTTATTTGTTTTATATTTTAGTATAAATATAAACACATTAAATATTATATTTACGTATATTTTAATATGGATTTAAATATGTAATTAATTAAATATTATATATTTAAACGCATATAATTGTATATACATACTTATTCTGACATATTTCAACAAATTTGATGGATCGACATTGCTGAAGACGTTTGTATATATTTATCATACTATAGAGGTTGCATCTGATTAAAGAAGCATTATTTATGTTTACTTTGCTTGTGGCTTAATATTTCATTATATAAGAAAGAGAAAAATGCATAAGCAAAATATTTCCATAATTAACTTAAATATTTGAATTAAAAATAATTCTTATAAGTTATACAAATATATATTTGTATATCTCCCTTTTCTCGATGCAAACACAATTTTGATCCACTGTATATAATCCAACGTTATTCCAATGCATATGAATTAAGGTTGATCCAATATATATAATCCAACGTTAAACTATATTGAATAATTGTTGGGTTAGAAACATTGGATCAATATTACTCCATATACATTGGATCAACGTTGATCCCTATACATTGGATCAATGTTAGAATAAGATTGGAAAAACAGCAAACTTTTGCGATGTTTTTCCATACGTTGGATCAACGTAATTTTCCTAACTACTTTTAATTACGTCAATATTAAGGTTTTTATTAATGTAAATATGATAAAACCAACATTGGATCAACGCTGTATTTGCATCAGAAAAAACAGCCAATTTTGGCAATGTATTTACATACATTGGCCCAATCTAAGTGTGCTAGACTGGCTAATGTAATTTTTTTGATGAGTTTTCTGGTGGAAATTTTTTTTTTATCTGAATGTTCTATCTTTAGATGAATCATGATATAAATCAATATTATTATGATAAATACATTTTATAATTCGTAAAAAACATCAATAATAAAGAATTTGTTCTTTAATGGTTAATAACCTTTTAGAGATAGCGAAAAAAGTGCATTTGTGTGTATGAAACAACATTTGTTTTAATGAATAAGCCTTACTTTTTTATATCCAAAATGTAAAATCATTTTATTAAACCAATGCAATATTTTTAACCACTGTTAAATAATGCATGAACTTTCTATATTAGTTTTAGGGATAAAAATTTCCTGGAAATTTTCAAGGTAATTATCTTGAAATTTTGGAAATTTTCAAAAAAAGTTACTTTATAATTAGCGGGTAAAATTTTGTCTTATTTAGGTAGTTGTTGTGGATAATTTTTTTTGATATTTTGTTGAGTTTTTTTTTAATTGTAACTAAAGTAGCAACTATGATAAATAGTTTTTAATTTATTTGCCAAGTATATCGACATTCAGTGCTGTAGCAAGCTTTGTTTAAGGCTAAATCTTATTTGCATCCCAATCCATAAAGAAATAATTTTAAATTTTAAGTTGACTTAAAAGTTACCGAAAACTGTAAGTTTGTATATAAAAAGACTTAATAACGTCAATTCCAACTCCAAATTGCTAACTCCATTTGCTATATAATAATGATGTTATTGATTAATGAAAGGCAAAAAGAAAGATTTTTGCTAAATATGAACTATTTAAAAGTATATTTAGCAACAAAAATAAAGAACTAATGATTTTGATATCATAAATTTTGCCGCTATGTTTAAATAAGTGCTTTTAAGACTTGAGTCTTAAAAGCACTTATTTAAACTTAAAATCACTTATTTTTAATGACACTTAGAAACACTTATTTTTAATGTATTGGTAACACAGCTATGCAATTAATTGATAACAAAAAGTTTATTAATTAATAAGCATGTTTATTTTATAGTTGTTATTCTTCTAGTTTTTTTTAGTAGCTTTTTTAAAGCTGTGACTCTAAATTATTACATATTTATTTCATTCTTTTATTTATTCTATAATTAAATTGGTTTTTGAAAAAAAAAATAATACAATAATTTATATACAGTACAGTTTTTATATACAGTACAATGTACAAATTATGTAGCACTTTATAGTGCTAATTAATTTTATGTGTAATTAATGAAGTAATATAAAAAATGCTAAAAATAATATACAGGTTTGTATATTATTATTTTTAATTACTCAAGATATTGTTTACTTTAATTGCTATTTTCGAAGTTATTTTTAAAATCTTTTTATTATGTATTATTTCAAACTTGAATTCTATAATTCAATCTTTTTAAAATTCACATTTTAAAAAGATTGAATTATAGAATTCAAGTTTGAAATAACACATAAATGTTATTGAACTTTTAGATTTTACATCGCTATGGGTCCTATATGGTTGAAGTTGCACAGTTGCTTGGATATACATGCAATGACATGGATCCTGAAAATAATGTTACAGCTCAGATGCTTTCAATAGTAGAGTTTGAAGAAAAGTTAGCCAATGTAATTGTTTCATTAATTTAACCATTACCATTAACAATGTTTGTAAGGGTGAATAACAAAAAGATTTTATGATAATACTTTTGTGTCTTCAGCATAACAATTTTAGTTGCAACTGTTTGTTTAGCTAAAGTAAACCAATAAGTAAGTAAACATTTTTTTGTAAAAGGTCCCAAGGGTTATCCATCTAACTTCTTGTACAAATAGTTTATCCAATTTTAAAATTGTCTTTAACTGATTTTTATTTTGCCAAAATTTTGGTAGAGAGGGTGGTTTGTTAATGTTATTTTTGTTCACAAATATATAAACCTACTCAGGTGGTTTAAGGCCAGGCCAAATTTTTATAGTGGTTCGACTGACCTTTTACATATTTCATATAAAACAAACTGTTTTTCAAAAAATTTTTGTTGAGCTGAATAGTATCTAGCAAAAGTTGTCTCAAATAATTTTTTTTTTTTTTGACAACAATATGAGGGTTGATGTAAATTGGCTTTTAACTAAAAGAATAATATTTTATAAAGTAGTGGTTAAAATCACATAGCACAACTTTTCTAGTAATCTGCAACCATATCAATCAATCATACAAATATATATATCTATATCATATTCTATCATTGTTGCATAAAATGATTTATATGATCAGGTAGAAAATCTGATAATTTGTCATTTCTTTAAACAACGAATACCTAAGTGTCAAGTATTTGGTAATAATTTGCGATTTTGTCTTTAAAGGCTTTTTGATGGCCATAAAAACAGTTATGTTTGTGTTGAATGGAATAATATTTGTAATAAACAAAATGAAATGTGATGTTGTACTTTTATTTGCATATATATATATATATATATATATATATATATATATATATATATATATATATATATATATATATATATATATATATATAAATATATATATATATGTATATATATATATATATATATATATATATGTATATATATATATATATATATATATATATATATATATGCAAATAAAAGTACAACATCACATTTCATTTTGTATATATATATATATATATATATATATATATATATATATATATATATATATATATATATATATATATATATATATGTATATATGTATATATATATATATATATATGTATATATGTATATGTATATATATATATATATATATATATATATATATATATATATATATATATATATATATATAAATATATATATATATGTATATATATATATATATATATATGTATATATATATATATATATATATATATATATATGCAAATAAAAGTACAACATCACATTTCATTTTGTATATATATATATATATATATATATATATATATATATATATATATATATATATATATATATATATATATATATATATATATATATATGTATATATGTATATATATATATATATATATATATATGTATATATGTATATGTATATATATATATATATATATATATATATATATATATATATATATATATATATATATATATATATATATATATATATATATATATATATATATATATATACGTATGTATATATTTAATATTTGAATAAAATCTATTGAAGTTGGAGGAAGAAAACAGTTTGTTTATAACAAGAGTTGATCTATTTAGAGAAAAGAAATTATATAGATTGAAGTAGATAATTAAAAAGAGGAATAAATCAACAGAAGATATAAAAATAGGATTGTAAAGTTCAAGTCGCATGTAAAAAAAGTATTCATGTTTTTGACATAACTAATTCAATCAATTCTTCTGCAAGTAAAAGATAAAGATTTCATAAAATATTGTTAGAATCCGTTAATTTAAGTATTAAGAATGTATAGTTGTAAATCAACAACAACTAGGACTCCATTATTATTTGAATTAACAAGTAGTTCTGATAAGTTTACATCATTAAAAGCAGCTAAACGTTTTAAAGATACTGGTAATTGTAGCAGTTTATAAAAACACTTATAAAAATGAATTGGAAAGACAATCATAATTAGTTTTGTAAAACAAAAAAATATTTGGTTTTAAAAAATAAGTATGAGTTTCACTAAAAAAGGTTAATTAGTTTTTTATTACCAAGGTGAGTCGCACAATACCTTTAGTTATAGAATTGTCTATCCAGTCAGTACACTCCATTTGAAAAACGACTTAGGAATTATTGGATCATTGTTCTGATTTTACACCAAAGTTAGTGTGCTGCTATGGTATGTTATTTGAGTAATAATTTTAATTAAAAAAAATTAAATTATAAAGATAAATTATAGTTATTAAAATAAATTATTTCATTGTGTTCTCATTTTTTAATAGCAATGAACCAGCTAATCAATAGTTTTTATAATAAATTGTTGTTTAGATTGAAGTTGGACTTTTTTGCATCTACTTATGTTGTTAAATAAATTTCTCACTTTCTTAAGAGCAATGTTTGATATAAACATTAAAGCATTAGCAATATAGAAATTAAGATACTAAACCTGTGTTGAATAAAAAATTGAATTAAAAAAAATCTAATAGACACCATAACATTTCCTGACTTTAAATACGCATTTGGAGGTGGTGACTCTTTATTCATTTACACCTTTATTCCACAATACAATTATTAAAAACATTAAAATAACAATGATTAGTATAATAATTAATGATTAGTATAATAATTAATTATAATAATATAATGATTAGTATATTAGTATATATGATGAATAAAAACATGATAATTGATCAAACATAATAATTGATCACTCAATTTTCACAGATAAAGTAATAAATTAAGAAATGTTGTGTACTATGAAAACCAGTAAGGTTACCTCACTGGTTTTCATACAACAAAGTTTTGTTGTGTACTATGAAAACTTAAGTTAAGTCTTTTATTGATTCTCAGAAGGTAATTTGTCAGACTAAAAATAAGATTCTCAGAGTTTGTTAAGTAAAAATCCAAAGACATTACTAATTGTATTAAAAAGATAGATTAGATGATAATCCGAGCTATTAAAAATTAAAACCATAAATGATAGGCATTTTCGATAAGTTGATAACAAGATGTTGAGGAGTTCAAGTAAGAAATAACTTTAGTAGAAGACTATTACTCAAATAAGTAATAATTTTAATTAAATTAAAATTATTACTTATTTGAGTAATAATTTTAATCTAATTAAAATTATTACTCAAATAACATACCAAAGCAGAACACTAACTTTGGTGTAAAATTTGTCCATACACATTGCTGGATGCACAGACTTGATTTGTCCATGCACATCACTGGTATTCTGCTCACATAATAATTCATTTAACCTGCATTATTATGAGAAATAAAATGACAAAAGTGGTGCTATATTAAATGCTGTGATACTTATGAGTGCTATATTGAATGCTGTGTAGTAAGAACAAAGAAATACCTTGGTATTTCTTTGTTCTTACTACACAACATGTTTCTGCAGTTTTAGTATTATTGAAAGCTATTAATATACCCTTTTCAAAAAAATTTTATTCTTTTTTTTTTATTGCAAAAAAAATTTGTGATTTCCAATTAGTCAACTTACTATGTTTCTTCTTTATTCATTGTTGAGATAAAACAGGAAAATTTAATTTGTTCCAAAAGCTATTTAACTTGTTTTAGAAATTGTCCATAAATTATGCAATGCTAAATTTATTTAAAAACCAGAAGTAGGAGATCTTAAGCTCTTTTACACATTGATTTTCATTAAACTTAAAGTGCTATTTTGACTTTTCATTTATGTTAAGACTCTGCAAGGGTAAACTTTTGATCTTTTTTCTTTTGTTTATTAGTGAAATTTAGTGTAGCATAATTTATAGACAATTCCTTATTAAACATTTTTTTCGATCTTGTGTTTTACTACAATGTTAGATTTAAACATTTTTAAACATCTTTTTTTGTGTGCTGCTATTTGCTAGATAATTTGTTAACAACATCTTTTGACATATTTCAAATTGTGATAAACTTTAAATATTGTAAATAAATTGTGATAATTTAAATTAGGATAATTTATTATTATTACACTTTAATGAACATATTGAACTATTTTAAAACATTTAATTACAAATAAATTCTAGTTTGTATCATTAATATCATTATTAGCATTTAATTCTTTTAAAATCAGCATTGTGCCACCAAATTGTTTACATATTACTTACTCTAATATAGACAAGAAGTACAAAATATGACTTTCGAACTTTTATTAAAAATTAACTTCAAATGTAAGTTATCAACAAAAGTTCAAGTTGTTTTATTTAAAAGTTCTGAAAACCAAACCCTACTAAATTAACCATCATGCAATTTTTTAGAGATTTTTCTATTTTTCAGTTTGGCAAAAACTATTTGCATTCACTTGGCATATTCCAAAAATGCTACAAACGGATTAGATTATTAGTTGACCATTAAAAATGTTTTTTCAGGGAGAAAGTTTTTAATAATATTTTGAGCAAAACAAAAGCATATTTTCTTTTAGTCCTCTGACTGTTAAATTTTTTTTCTTCTAAAAATCACTTTTGTTCTTCAAATATCTTTTTTCTCTAAGATGTAATCTGCAGAGTTTTTATGTGGTTGAAATAATAGTTGAAAAATTGATAAGCTTACTTATTATAAACATAATTAAACAAGGTCAAAAACGTTTTAATTAGTAAGTATACTATTGTTCTATGAAGAACACTTTTTTCGATTATTTGTTTTTGATGTAATATAAAAACTAGAACTTAAATATTGTTTTAAAATTTAAAATTTTTTAGAGATTTTTCAGCGTAACATTGAAAACAGCGCAAAATTGACAAAAAAATTTTCTCATTCAAATATTTATAACAATTTTTATATGTACATTTTTTGTAAAATAATTTTTGACTGATTAACTTATTTTGATTATTAAAAACTTATTCTGTTCCAAATAAGATGGTCAATCAAGAATAACAAAATTTAAGCATTATAAAAAAGTTTTAATACTTATATGTAGCTACATAATTGTGACCTGGCTTTTTAGAGGTTAAAAAATTTTTTAAAAGCAAAATAATGCAAACATTATGCTTAATGTACTTCTTTATTAAAAGAATTAAAAAGAAACTGAATTAACTATATTAAAGTTTCTTTAATAAAACACGATTTACATAGATGTTGTTTTTTTTCCAATATAAAAATAAATACAGATGATAACTTAATATATGGACCTTAATTATATATGGATATAAAAAAGTATCAACATATTGTAATAGTTAAGAGACCTTTTTTAGTTTTGCTTCCAAATTATTATATTTATCCAAATAGTTTTTTATTTCCTATGATATCATTTGAATTGTTTTCAAAATTCAATATTTTTATTAAATTTAGTTGTCATTTGCTGAAGACGTTATGAGAGTCAACATTTCAAGTCTTATGGAGATTATTCCAAATGTAAGTGAATATAATTTGTTATTAAATTTATATCAACATGTTTATTGATAGCTTCTTTGAACATGAGCATACTGGTGCAGGCATTTTACTAGAATCTTGATCTTAATTTTGTTTGCGTTGGCATATATGTATATATATATATACATATATATATATATATATATATATATATATATATATATATATATATATATATATATATATATATATATATATATATATATATATATATATATATATATATATATATATATATATTTGGCGACTCCAGTGTTCGATTTGCCGACTAATAAAATTTGTAGGGGTATAATATAATACATCCCCCTTACAATGGCCCTGACCCTTAATGATTATGATATTCTTAATGCTTAATCCAGTAAATTAAAGTGTTTTGAGGAACACTAAGCTTTTCAGCTACATTTTTTTAAATTTGAACTTTTTCCAATCTTTATAAGCAAGATATTTATCTTTGATTGATAATTTGATATATTTACTCAATTTTTACTATAAAATTTGGGTGAAACATAGAGAGTTTATTAAAAGAGGGTGATCGATCGCACCCGACGATCCCCACAGTATGGACATGGTACTGCCTTTATTCGCATAGATGCTATGTTAAAATTTTTATTTCACTATGTGTTCCATTTTTTTATATTTTGATAAGGTTTTTTTTTTTACATGTATACATACATATATATTTTGATTACATTTGATTAAGTTATATTTTGAAATGCAATGCAATAATATTGATTTAATCACAAATAAATTTTAAAGTTAATCACAAATAAATTTTAAATTTAATCACAAATAAAGTTTTAATAAGTTTTTGTCATTATCAGTGTTTAACTGATGGGGTGTTTGACAAGGAGAGCAAAAAATTACTTTGAATAAACAAAATTTTGTATAACTGATGGTTTGAATAACTGATGGATATTTGCATGTATTTCTTATGAAAAATTCATGAGGAAAGAAAATTGCTTCAAATAAGTGGGAAATTTGAATAAGTACCAGTTCAAACAACCAGGAGTTTACTGTATATATATATATATATATATATATATATATATATATATATATATATATATATATATATATATATATATATATATATATATATATATATATATATATATATATATATATATATATATATATATAGTTTATTATTATTATTATTATTATTATTATTATTATTATTATTATTATTATTATTATTATTATATATATATATATATATATATATATATATATATATATATATATATATATATATATATATATATATAATAATAATAATAATAATAATAATTATCAATTAATATAATTAAAATAAAATAAACATTTTATTTTAATTAAATAGGTTAATGTTATAATGGAAAGTTTGTTTATTAAGCGAGAGATTTTCCCATTTAATGTAGAGCACTTCTTTCTATTTTAATTTATGTCTAGTTAAAGCGGTATCTAAAATCTAAAATGAATTACAATTAGACAGGTTTTTACAATTGAGGGATATAATTAAATACTTATATATATATATCGGATTTTTTATCTGTCCCAAGGTGCTCATTAATTCTAGTTGTTAAACGTCTGGATATTCTCCAATATAACTGTTACATGTCTGGATATTCTCCAATAGAGCTAGCACAAGAAAATTTGTAAACAACATGAGATTTAAGTAGCTTAGGATATGGATTTTTAAATAAAAATTAATTTGTATTTTATTAGTTGTATATAATAATTTTACTAGAACATCTTTACAATATTTTTAACAATTTTTTAAATTTTCATTTTAGTATCTTATATTTGAGTTTTTAAATAAGGTAGAAACAGGGTTTCATTATCAATATACGATTTAATTTTACTCAATAATTCAATAATTTTTTTGCGGAAATTAATTTTGTAAAACAAAACAAAGATTTTTTATGTGATTTATTAAATCCCAGCCATATTAATTATTAAATTTATATGTTTGATCAATCTAAAAGCATGTTAAACCAAATTTATAGCAAGTGGGAATAAAACACAATTAAGTTTAAAATTAGATTAAAACCTGTATAAGTTTATTTATAGTAAAATGATGTTGAAAAGGAGTTGGATTTTTTATTAAGTAAATATAAAAGGGCAATCTGGTTTTCTTGTTCTTTTTCCATCTTAAATTTTAAATTTTTATGTTGTTTATTAAGATTATGTCATTCACATACCGTTTATAAAAATTGGTTTAGGGACAGTTGTTAACCCATGTTTTTTCATAAAATCCGTTAAAAATATTAGCTGGGTACTAAAGGAGAATCCTTTGCAACACCATCTGTTTGATGTAATATTTTCTGTCAAATAAAAAATGGGAACCAGATGTTGAAATCTGTAGTAATTTCTTCATTTCTTGTAATGCGAAATTACAAAACATGTCGAGATCTAAAAATATTGTGTTATTTTTTTAAATACTTACTTATTTTATGCTACTAAAACATTATATTATAATATATATATATATATATATATATATATATATATATATATATATATATATATATATATATATACATATATATATATATATATATATATATATATATATATATATATATATATATATATATATATATATATATATATATATATATATATATATATAATATTAAAATATCAAATAATAAAATATCATTATATATATATATATATATATATATATATATATATATATATATATATATATATATATATATATATATACATATATATATATATATATATATATATATACATATATATATATATATATATATATATATATATATATATATATATATATATAAATATATATATATATACATGTATATATAATATATATATATATATATATATATATATATATATATATATATATATATATATATATATATATATATATATATATATATATATATATATATATGCCTAAAAAGAAATTTGCATGGCATGCTTAAAAAGAAATTTGTTTTGCGCAATAAATGTGGGTGTTTATCTCAAATTCTCTGCTTTAAATTGAAACCCACATACAATTAAGATATAAATATTTTGGAGAGAGTCTGAAGACATGCCAGTAAGATAGCTCATAGTATAAAGCATTTACCTTACAAAAATAGACCACGCATTTTAGACCTGACCACACTTGAAGAAAGCTTCCATGCAGACTTAACAGAAGTTTTAACAATTCTGGTGAAAAAAACTGTTAATTGGCACCACAATTTGTTTTGCATATTGCCATGGACATAAAAGTTGACTGATCAAGTAGATAGTCAAATCGACTAACAAATAGAGGTACCTGGTTTCTTCTATCTGATGAGATTGTAAATGCTGACAACATAAATGCTTTCAAGAACCAGTGATATTAAACAAATAACTCAGAACTAAAAATGCCATTGTAAAGGAATTAAATTGATAATGTCAAAAAGTGGTCAAAGTTTCCCTTTTTTTTTGAAAAAGCCATGAAACTTTTTTCTGTGATTCTTGCATCCCCATTGTGACAACTGTAATAACTACTAAAAACTGAAATTGAAGATGATGACATGATTACAATGAAGCAATGAAATTGCTTCTGTAGCATGGAAAAAACAATTAGCATTATTTTAAGTGATTTCTTGTAGTGCTGAATGAATTATGGATTCTCAATTATCCTCTGACTGTCTAAACTTCTGAAAGAATTACAAAAACAATTCATGAAGTGATGTCAAGCTTGTCCTTGACATCACTTCATGAATTGTTATCCATAATTATCAAGAGGTTTCTCACCTTTCCACCAACATCAATTGATGTTGGTAAGTTATTTTCAACAGCTTGAGATATACTAAGCAATGAAAGAAACTGACTATTACCAGTATTAAACTATTACCAGTAAATTATTAACCCTCAAAAAAATCTTGTTTTGCAGAGAAAATCAACCAGGTGTTAACTTTTGTTAATTAATTTATATTATTAAACTATGTATTATAACTCAACTTTGTGGAAATTAACAACAATAAAAATGAAAAACAAATGTTATATTGCATTTTTAGATTTTAGACATTTTTTAGTGAAATTAATTTGTTTAGCTGAAATTTTGGTATCAGTTTGGGTAAAATGTTTGCCAAAATGTGGGTTGAAAAATGTCAGTTTCAGTTTTGGTACTGAACTAGTATAACCTAGTATAATATAGTATATTAATGTTTCCAGTTAATGTATCAAAAACAAAAAGATGTGCTTAAGCAAATTTTTTTTAAGGCCTAATTATTTGATAATTAGAAGAATAGTTTTTTTTTAAAGCTTTACCGACTGAAAAAACAATATATATGTAAAAAAGGAAATTTAATTCTGCTGTGTGCTAAACTTTTGAGCGCTATTGTATATATATATATATATATATATATATATATATATATATATATATATATATATATATATATATATATATATATATATATATATATATATATATATATATATATATATATACAATAGTGCTCATGACTAAATAATCACGACTTGCAAATTTGACAATTTGCAAGTAGTGATTATTTGCAAGTGCTTTTCCAATGTTGCCACTAAATGCAGTAGGTTTTGAAGTGGTGCCATCTAAATGCAATACTAAATTTCTCAATGATAGTTCATTAAAATGGAACATACACACTAACCATTAAACTGGATATCCCAATGCAATTCCAGCAATCTAATTATACGATTGTTCACACCAGCATTTATGTTAGCTCCATCAGAGCCAATAGCTGACACATTATCAAGTGATATTTTATTTTCATCAAAAAAATATACAATAGCATTATTGATAATTGTTGATGATGTACTTGATGGAGAAATATGACCAAGAAAAATTGAGTGATGTTCTTTAATCAATGTGATATGTTCCTCAGTATTTATGTCTTTATTGCTAGTTGTTAATGCATAAAGAGTTTTATCTTTTTTCCCATCAAAGAAAATTGATTTTAAGCTTGCTGAACACATAGCTGACTTTGCTTTGGGTGATAATGTAGTTCTAAGCAATTGTCTTTGACGCCTTAACTTGGTTCTGTCTCTGATAGTTTTTCTGTCATGTTTTTTTATAATTCCGTAATCTGAAAGTGTGGCAGTAGCAATTGCAGCTACATCACTATGTATTAGATGTTCCAGATACTATGTATCTGCAACATCAAATACATAGTATCTGTCACATTCTCTGGCAACGGTTAAAAACTTTATCATGTTTCTGTTAGATTCACTCGCTCAATTCACAGAAATCTGACAAATGATTTTCATTAACATTGCTCTGAGTTTTATCTCAAATTATTGCACAAAGATTCTTCATTCTTCACATTGTAACAGTTAGAATACCAAATTTCAACCAAATGTTCATAACATTTTCAGATATCGGTTTTAATCAGAAACTCTAGAAATAATTGTGCTTGAATTAGAAGTTGTAATTTAACAAAAGTGCTGCATGACTTCCTTAGCAGTTGGAAGTTTGCGAGTAGTAAGTTCACATTTGATGCTATAAACAAGACAAATCCAGCTATGCTGTTGTACAGCTATAGTTTGCCACAGAAATCAAAATGTTTTTAATTTTCTAAATATAAACTTAGTTTTGTTCAATATTTGTTTTAATTAATTTAATTACCTAAGAAGTCCTTATGGTCTTATCACAGAGCACTGCGGATGAGCATTTAATTGGAAGTTTGCGCCTCCTTCCTAACCTGTGTCGCAAAGCTTGCCCAGAGGTGGGGTTTAGGAACCATGGATCCTTTGTTTCTGAGGCAAGTGCACTACCACTGCGCCATGGCTCCTCTAAATTAGGAGCCATGGCAATATTCAAAAATCCATTTATTTAATATATATGTGGATATTAGTAGTCTTTATAATATTGATAATATAACAATCTTTACATACTAATAGTATACTAATCTTTATATACTCATAAATAGTAATTTTTTCTACAATTTTTTTTTTAAATAAATAAATAACAATAATTTTAATAAGTGTTAGTTAGAATCACTATAATTTATATAGTAATAAATAGTAAACTACTGAGTAATTTAAAACAATAAGAAAAGCCTAAAAATGGATAAAATAAATAATAATAATTTAAAAAATTGTTAGTTTGAATCACTGAGTAGATAATTAGTTAATAATTAGTTTATAATTTAATACTGGTTTATAAATCTAGGCATAGTTTTATTTTGGAAAACATTGAAAAAATTATGATCAAATACCAATACCTAAATACCAATAAAAAGTCTGAAAATGCACAATATAAGTCCCCCAAAGGAAAAAAAAAGCCAAAATATTTTTTTTAGTATTCTTTTTTTGTTATATCATTTAATGATAACAATTTATTGCAATTTATAATAAAATTTAATAATTTAACAACAAAAATTATTAAGTAATTTAATAACAATAAAAAAAGCCTAAAAATGCACAAATATAGTAAAATAAGGTCTTTTAGCAACAAATGATGTAGTAGTGAGTAGTGTAAATTGTTGCTTACAAACGATAAAAATTAAATAGGAAAAAAAAAAACTCTTTTTTTGTTTTCATTTGGAAAAAAATTATTTAATTACATAGACTATGTAATTAAATGATAAAAAGTATGAAAATATAAAAATATGGTGATTTAAAGCCATATTTTAAATTTTTTATATTAAAAAATATAAAAATATGGTGATTTGTGGCAAAGGAAAACACTAAAAAAATCAAAAAATGTTTTTTTAATCTACTTCATAATATTTAGAAGCAACAAGTTATCACTATTCAAAGTCAAACTTTTTTCCATGATCTACCCTAATGAGGAGTGCTGCTACACTAACTGACAAATAGGTAGAAGACATGAGAAGTGCTGCTACATTGACTGACAAATAGGTAAAACATGCGAGGAGTTATGTTGCATCGACTGAAAGTTTGGTTTTTATTCTTGGTTGTTAACAAATGTTAACAAAATTTAATGTAAAAACTATTAAAATGATTAATGGTTAATGATGAAATTAGGAAACTAATTAAATTTCATACAAAAATGCAACTTAATAGATTAAAATGATTTTTTTTTTTTTTTAATTCAGAATTATTATTTTTTTTTTTTAGTGTCTTTTTTTTGTAATTTTATTTGTTTTTTTTTTTGATGATTTTTAATTTTTCAGTAATTTAACATCTGTATACATTTGTATTTATTTTTAATTTATTGATTTAACTTTAAGTTTGATTGGAACTATCATCTAACCAGTATATTTCCTGAGAGTTTTGACATAAAGAAAAGTGAAATTATCTTATCGACATCTCCATCATACCTTTTTGGTGTAGCGGATTTAATAAAGACAACTGATAAAAGGTAGTTTTAAAATCAAAGTTTTCTTTTGTTATTACTAAAAATAAAAACAATCTTTAAAAGATATAAACTGCATTTTTCCAATGGTTTTGTGATTTTGAGTTATTATTTACATTCATCCATATTAACGTTTATTAACTAAATGATGCCCAAGTATTATGTAGTTTTGAAATATGAAATATATAATAAGTAATATATTAATTAATATATTAAATAAGTAAATAGAAAAACTAAACTTTAAATAATATATTAACTAATGTATTAAATAAGTAATATACATTTGGACAGAGTTGTTATCAAGGCCAAAAAATGCAATATCAAGGCCAAAACTTTTAAGGCCAAGGCCAAAGCCAAGATTTTCGAGATCAAAGACCTTTGCCTTTGATCTTGAAGTTGAGGCTAATTATTAACAAAACTGCATGAATAAAGTGCTGTGACGATAAAACCATATGTTGTGAAATTAGACTGAGGTTATGCTTAAAATTCAAAGAAGTCGATAAAAAGTATATATTTGAGATTTATATGCAAATTAAAAAATTAAAACTTTTAATTTTTTATTTTTATGTATTTTATGTTCACTTTGGAAAACTAGTTACATTTTTACATAAGAAAGTTAAACAAATGATACAAGAGTTGTATCTGTCTATGTTCACTTTGGAAAACTAGTTACATTTTTACACAAGAAAGTCAAACAAACGACACAAGAGTTGTATCTGTTTACTAGTAATTCAACACGAGGACAGAGGTGGGGTTTGAACCACGGATCTTACGTTTTTGAAGCAAGTGCGCTTTTACTGCGCCATGGCTGCTTGCATCTGTCTACTAGTAATTCAACATGAGGACAATCTTCTCGTGGAATTGTTTCAAATTCTTTGTAATTGAAAATCTAACATAATATTTTAAAGTTCTAGACCAATTATTTTTTGTGTGTTGATACTATAGCAGCCAACACTGGAATGAGAGGCAATTAAAATACTAGCTTGTGTATTTCGAAAAAAAAAAAAAACTGTTTTTGTTATACTAGCATCACATAAATAAAATAGATTTTAAACATGTTAACACTAGAATATATATAAATAAATAGTATATAGACAATAACTAGAGATACGACCAAGAGACCAAGAAAAGCTTTACTCAAACATTAAGAAGCAACAGAAAAATTTTGTCCTGTTTTTATCTACTTTTGGTGTCTGCTCTTGTTTTAAAAAGTTCGATGAGAATACTCTCTAAACCGGTTCTGGAATTCATCAGCTAAAATTAGAGGCAATGACCTATATCAAATTTGTTTTTGAAAATGGGTGTTTCCTCCTTGAGGGTTTTAGACATCTTGTGGAATACATATCTTATTTTATATATATTTCTTTAATGAATCTTTTTAATTTTCTTAACTTTAACGATCCTTAGTAATTTTCTATATAAGCTAATATATATATGGAAAACAGGTGTTTACAAAAGGTATTTTTTTTGGAAAAAGTAAAATAAGTACAAAAAAATTTATATAATATATATATATATATATATATATATATATATATATATATATATATATATATATATATATATATATATATATATATATATATATATATATATATATATATATATATATATATATATATATATATACAAATAATTTTAAATGTATTTTACAAAATAGAGTGCACAATGTTCTCAAAGGAACAGAGCAATAAAAAATTAGTAGAAAATCACTTATCACATATCTTTTTTCATTTTACACTGTGTTTTATCAACTAAGTCTCATCAAAAATAAATATTCAAATTAATAAAACTTTAATTTATACCAAAAATTAAATTACAGAAAGTCATAAATTTCTTAGCGGGTTAGGGTAATAACATCAGTTTTTGCTATGCCTAATAAAATCTGTCCAACAACATCTGTAAATACACTCAGGTATAATAACATCTGTCCAACAACTGAAATTCCATTGATGTCTTATAAAATTTGTGTCAAAAGTATATGATTACTACAGATGTAGTTACATCTTTTCATTTATCTAAGTTTAACAACATCTGTAAAACTACATCTATGAATGTAGTTAGATCTTGTCAATTATATTAAAAATAACTAAAGGATTGTTTTTCAGATGTAATTACATCAGGAAAAAATTATAAAATTATAATGTATTATTTTATCCAGATGTAGTATTATATAGTATTTTTATATATATATATAGTATTTTTATTACTTTTTATTTTTTTTCAAGATTGTTTATGGTTGTTAAATCTATTCACTTTTTGTTACACCAATATATTGTTTATCGGGTAAATTCTTAGAGGAAACAATACATTAACACACCATATTTTTTAATTTTCCACTCTTTAAACAATTGCTTTTTTGTTTACAATTACAATTTTCTGTTGTTTTTTCATTTAGGATTTTTTTTTGTTTAGCCTAGCAATATTGTGATTATAATTATTTCCATATTTTAGGTGCAACTGTAACTTGTATTTTGATTAAAAATATTATATATATAAGATTAGAGGCAGGAAGTATTTATTGACCAGTTTTTAAAACACTTTTCTTATGTTAGTGGAAACATTTTTGTTATATTTGGTGTCGAACCAAAATACATTTCTAATTTTATCTCGCTTTTTTGTATTCTTTTTTTCAGGATCAAATTTTAGCAAAAAATTTGAATCCCACTTTTTTAAAGGGCTTCTTTGAAAATTTATTTAGAGGAATTAAATACATTTGAATGGATGATTTGAGTTAATATTAATGTATAATAATTCATCATTTGGTTTTTTGAAAGGCTTATATGAATTTTCAGAGAGGTTTAATATAATACCAAGAATTTTTAGATTTAGATTTATTTCGATTTGAAAGTCAATATTAGCCAAATAATAATAGCCAAAAAAAAAAGTTGATAATAATGAAGAACGTAATCGTGATAAAAGCAAACGTATCATTTGCTTCCATGAGGAAAATATTTTCAGCCTACCAACAGCAAGCGTTTCCAATTTTTTTTACAAACAAAAGTTGGCTCATTTTCGTTTGACTGCACAATGCTCAGTATAAAAGATGTGGTCAGGAAATAGTATGGCTAGTGCTCTTTTTTTTATGCTAGATTAATTGCTAATAATTCAATTTAAAAGTGATGTTAAAAAAATTGAATAAAAAAAACTTTTTATTCAGTTTTGCAAACATACTTTTCTTTTAAGGACAGGCTTTTAAACGAAATGTAATTGAAGTTTGTTTATGGAGCAACTCTTGTGCGCTGAACCATAATTTTTCTTTGCTTACCTCTTTTGTAGCCAATTCCTTCAATACAGAAGATACAACTCTCTGGAAAATTTTTGAACCTTTCAATTGTATGAGATACTGTAGATTTTGAATTTTATCCATCTGTCCACATGGATGTCTGATACCCTTACCCACCTTCTGATGGCAATGCGAGCAAAATGATTCATCAAGGTCTACAGAATTACTTTGTTTAGTTGACGTTTCATTTACAAATTCAGAACTTTTCTTGTAAAATCATCCACAAATTAAAACAATCATTCAGAAATTTTGTGAGCCAGCACATAGTTTTATCCACAAGATAATTTTACATAGTATTATTGTAAGAAATAGGGAAACAGCTGAAGTTTACAGTCTGATTGGTCATGTCAGAATTATTAAATACATACCTCAAAAGGATCCAATCAAGTTGATTCAAATTAAAGAAGAGCAAATGATGTACTTTCAAACCATTGCTAAGAATTATTTGTTGCTTAAAAATGTTCCATATGCTAAAGTAAAGGTACTTAAATACTCAGCAGATAAACAATTGAGTGTTGAATACAAAACTGAGTTTAGTTCTGAATGGAAGTTGGAAAATATTTCAAATATAACACCAAACACCAAAATTCAATCAATAAAGAAAATAATATAAAGTTTGTGCAACTGAAGTTACTTAAAAAAAATATATCTCAAAAAAAAAAATGATTTAAAATCTATGTTAAAATTCATGCCACTTCAAGGCAGAATATGTCATTAGTCTAACAAACATTCATCCAGTGTTTAATGTTAACTTTTAGCAATATTTGTTTTTTGCAATTTTCAGCTCTATTGACAACATGGTTCTGCGCCAATTTTGTGAACTTTTTTTATGAACTTTTGATGAAATTAAAAAAAATTTATTTTATAAATTTCAATTTGCAGTTGCACTTCAAGTTCTCATGAAAGTTTGGATTAGTCTTTAATTTATATTTACTATTGCAACCAGCTTAAATATTGTAACATAATTATAATTTCTTTTTTAATTTTCAAACTAATTTTGTATTATTTATTATTTGTTTATTAATTTTTATTTGTTAACAACAGAAAAAAACACATCTCAAAACTAAAAAAAAAAAAAATCAGCAAAAATATTGCAATCACTGATAAGAATAAAAACATTCAGTTTATACTGTCTAAATTTTTCAATCAAAAAGAAACTCGTAAATTTCTATTAAATCAAATTTAGGTTCTCACCTTAGTATAAAACTTATGTATACATATTAATCCTACTGAATTATAATAAAACTACTGTTTAAAAATGTGCATTTGAAGGCTAGCCACATTAGAGTTGAGTTGTTTATTTGTTTCATGTATAAAATTCCCATCCATCTTTTTATTAAGACTCCTTATTTATTAGATTTGGATTAATATTCCGACTGACCCTATTATTCAATCCCCCACCCCCACCCCTCGTATTAAATACCTGAAAGTAGTTATATAAACCGCTTTCTGGAAAAATGCTGTTTATTAATGTTTATAAAAATGCAAACCACAAGGCTGCATGTCCTCAACCAGATTCAGTTTGTAATTTTTTTAGATTGAAACCTCCCTTTCAAACAAATTTTTATTACTTCTAATAAAAATACGACTTAATTTACTATTAAACTTGAAAATGTAAGTTGCTCACAAAACGATCAACTGTCAGTATTTGTGCTCTAAAATTTGAAATTTGAATTACTTTGAATCACAAAAAGTGGAGATACAGCTTCTTAGTTCTCGACTGAGGTATGAGAATTAAAAGATAAAAATATTGATTTTATATTGAATTGGCCCATCTTTAGAACAGAACCTGCATATAGTAATATTTCTAAAAAAAATGCATACTATGCCTACAATAAAAATTTGAAATAATTATGCATGTGAACTAAGAATGCTTATTTAACAAAAAATCAGAATTAATTTCGAAATGCAGAAATGCAGATATAAAAATAAGTTTCTCCTAAAAAACTAAAATTAAGTGAGCTCAAAAAATAGTTATATTGAATCCCTCCTTTATTTACTTTATATAAAATCTATCTTTAAAAAAAAAGCAGAAGTAAACAATCTAAATAATACTTTTTATAATAGCATATTCCACAAATGTGTGAAAATTTACAGTAGCTAAGACATTTATGATTTAATTTTTAGTATAAATTAAAGGTTTATTAACTTGAACATTTATTTCTGATGAGTCTTAAATGATAAAAAAAAAAACAGTGTAAAATGAAAAAATTTTAATATATATCTGTGTGTATTAGGTATTTTATCATGTTTTTGTATATTTAATTGATTTTTTTTTTCAAGATATTTAAGTTTTTGTTTTTCTGTTTTTTAGAGTTTTATCAAGATATGTTGTTTGGCAACTTTTGCAAGACAAAATTAGTTATTTGTCAGAAGATTTTCGTAAAATAGATTCAGCTTTTAAAAACACACTTGGGACTCAAGTGAATTCCAAACGTTGGAAAACTTGTACTGAAGCAACAAATACAAACATGGGTTTACCAATTGCTAGCATGTTTATCAGTAAATATATGAATAACAGCACGAAGCTGAAGGTTTTTCTTAATTTTTGTGTAGAGTATGACCAAAAGTTATTTTGTGGTCAGATAACCACAATATAAATATCAATGAAAAATTTTGGTTTATTTTTTAAATAAATGAAAAAATTTATTTAATTCAATAAATTGAAACTTTGAAAATCATGCATTAAATAAGTTTTAGGCGTAAATGCTTTTCTATAATAAAAACTCAGTTTTTATAACCATATTTAAATATTTTAAATATAAAACTTTATTCAGACTTTATATAATTTTAGTTGCCTACAAATTCAAAACTAAAGTATGAACTAAAAAATAAACTATATAAACTATAAATTAAGTAATGATATAAACTAAAAACCAAACTGTATAAATTATAAAATTAAAAAAAAATGTAAATAGAAACTAAAAAATTAAATGTTATAAATTTCAAACTAAAACAAAACCTAAAATAAAATCAACCATAAAAAAAATCAACAACTGTTATTTTTTAATATCTTTTGTTTGTATTATGTACGATGTTACGTACATTTATTGTACATTGTTATGTACGTTTGTTGTACGTTGTTACATACGTTTGTTGCACGTTGTTACGTATGTTTGTTGTACGTTGTTATGTACGTTTGTTGTATGTTGTTACGTATGTTTGTTGTATTTTGTTACATATTTTATACATTGTTACATATGTTTATAATATGTATGTTGTTTTTAAATGTTTATAGTTAAGGTAACCTTGGCCAAAATGAGACATTTAGGTTGTCTGAAAGTTAAATTTTGTAAAGATCTTTCTAAACTTGCTAACAATAATCATTTTATAAAAAAGTTAAATTTTTTAATTGCATGTAAAAAAAAAACATACTTTAAATAGAAACTTTAAAAAAATATAATTTAGCTTTGTTGTTACTTAGTGACTATAAGAAACTACAAGAGAAAAACTAATCATGTTAGGTGGAACTAAGATGACATGAAAAATGCTATTACAGCAGTGAAGTTGAAGTTTGTCCATAAACTATGTCATACAATTTTTGATAACTTTAAACCCCTTCAACGCCTCCCCCCCCCCTCCTCCTCATTCTCCTATTAACAAATCATCACATTTGATCGACCCTCCCCTCTCCCCTAAAATTATGGAATAATTGGTTTTAAATAAAATAATACAATAATATTTTTCTTAGCTGTCTTTAGTTATCTAATGAATGCTTTTTGATACATATAAAATTTTAATTATAACAATTATTATCTAATATTACTTTGAAAGTCATTACTTGTCTGATTATTGTGGCTATTTTATTTATAAATAGCTGCAAAATGTAAAACACTTTAAATTGTTTCATTTTTGTTATATATACTTTGAGGGGCAGCTAATATGGGTTGACGTCTTATTAGGAGAATTAATTTTTGGATTTTGATGTTTTATTTGAAAGTTGTTTTATATGTTTTAACTGTTATTGTTGTTTAATTATAGCTATATTTATTTGTTATTTTTATTTTTTAATTTTTCACAGAATAATAATAATTAATGGGTACATAAGTTGACTGATATGGCTGTAGTCACAGTGAAGTTACATAGACTGATTGATTTAAATAGTTATGGGGGAAGTGGAGTGTACATATATTCTTTTTTGCACTCCTATGTTTTGATATAGAGTTGTATAAATTAACAGTGACTAAACAAACAAATAGACTCTAAAGATATATTCAATTTTTAATAAACATATTATTTAAATAACTTTTTTAGCAATAAGTTAGTGTCATGGTTCATGGTTATATTAGCAGTATAATATTTAGTGTATAAACTATTATTGTTATTTAATAATTTTTTTAACATTACTTTTATTTAATAATAATGTTGTTATTATTTTTTCATTGATGATATATTGGCTTTAAAACAGTATTTGTATCATTGAATCATAAAGCTGTAGTTTCAGCGAAGTGTTCATTAATTGACCAAAGTCAATTCTAATAAAATTCAAGTCAGTTTAAAAAGTCAAATTAAATTGGAATAGCTACAGTTGAGTGTACAGAGGGATATGTTTTAATGTTTAGAAAAGGTTTTCTAAATTCGGAACTTGAAAAAAAAAAAGTGTTATATCACAAAACTGAATACTACCTTCCTTCCCCCCCCCCCACCTCATTCCCTTGTAACAAATTGTTGCAAAATCGCTAACCCTTCCCCAAACCTAATGCGTGGTGTAATTTGTGGATGACCCCTAAACAAAATGAGTTCCCATCGTACCAAGGTACTACTCATGATTGCAGGTTCGAATGTTGGTGCCGAGTTTGCAGAGCCCACATTTGAACCTGCAATCAACTGCTACGGATAATGAAAATTCAGTATTTTTTAGAAATGCTCTAACCAACTGAGCTATTCTGGGTCATTGTTAACTTTTTTTACAAAATATTTTTATATCTTTCTTAATGCAAAAAAGTCAAAACAATATTTCTGTATAATTAGATTATGAATTATGATTAGATTATTATTTGACTAAAAATTAATGTTCTAAACAGAAATATTAAATGCAAAAAACTATTTCATTTGACCCCACTACAAAGTGGGTTCAAATGAATTAATTAATAGTTTTTTTGAATCAAAAAAATTTTTTTGTAGAAAACTTTGAGTATATTTTGTTTATATTTAAATATATACAAACCAAAAAAAACAAATTTTATTAAAAAAAAATTTATTTAAGTGGAATATAGACTGTTTTATTCTACATTTAGGAAGTATGAAATATGCAAGTCAATGCCTAATTAAAAAAACACTTAAAAAAGCAACCAATGATAAAAATTAAAAAAACAACCAAATAATATAAAATATTCTAAATAATAAAATACCAAATAATATAAAATATTATTTTGATAACGTTGAGTTGCTGAGAGATTCTAGAGGTGGAGTTGTCATATAAGCTTTAAAACCTTCACATATTAAGGGGTAAACAGATTCTATCTGTTGACCAGCCTTGCACCCCTTCTTCATCTATAAGGCTGGCACAGATGTATTTTTAATACATTGTTTCCAGTTTAGGATGTCAAACACGGGATCTTCTTGACTCGATGCCTGGGTTTTGCTTGTGTCTGTGTTTTTATGACTAAGCAACTCATTCTATTATCTCCAAATGTTTATCTCTATTATCTCCAAATATATATGAGGGTACAGCTCTAAAACTCAGATTTATGGTTCTGAGGCTGGCTGGTAGTCAGGTTTAAATATCAGAGTACTAACAGTGCCATGTTGTGCATGGATGGTGTCCCTGTTTGTACTTTTGGTGTGCATTGCCAAGGCCACATTGGAGCCCTTTGTTACGGCTTAGGGTTTATTAGTGGAAAGAGGCAATTGCTTAGGTTATAAAACAGTGTACTGAGTACTATCTATGTTTCGAGTCAAGTTCTTTAACAAATTTAAAAATGAACAAAGTAACAAAAACTATAAAACACAAAAAACCACAGTCATCACCAAGTTCGCTAAACCTATCATTTACCAATACTCGTGGTCTTCGAAGTAACTTTTCTTCTGTTGAGTCTTATCTCTTGCAAAGTTCACCAGACCTACTTGCTCTTTGTGAGACTAATTTGAGTTCAGCTGTCTCATCTTGTGATTGTAGTGTTGATGGTAATCTTCCTTTAATTCGTAAAGACTCCAATAGTCACATGCTTGGCCTAGGCATTTACATTTGTAAGAATTCACCCATTTGTCAGGAAACTAGGTTTGAATCCACAGACTACTCTTTTATGTGCTTTCATTTAGCACCACTTCACTCTATCACCTTTCTCTTTGTTCTATATTGCTCTCCCTCATCTCAAGACTGCACTTTTCTTGATGTTATTTCTGATTATATTGACCAAGCTCTCATTCTTTATCCATCAGCCAATATTGTTGTTGTCGGTGACTTTAATGCTCATCACACTGAATGGCTTGGCTCTAGTGTCAGTGACTCTGCAGGTATTAAAGCCCACAACTTTTGCCTTTCTCAATCCCTAACTCAAATAGTCAACTTTCCAACTCGCTTTCCAGACAACTCGAATCATTTACCTTCTCTACTCGACTTATGTCTTGTTTCTGATTCTAGCCAGTGCTCAGTTTCTCGACACTCACCCTTAGGTGCTTCTGATCATGGTTTGGTCTCTCTAAAACTATTATCTCATTCTTCTTTACAATCAGAATCCCCCTATCATTGTACATCTTACAACTACCTTAAAGCTGACTGGGACTCTTTCCGTGATTTTCTTCGTGATGGCCCCTGGGTAGAAATCAACAGTCTTCCTGTTGACAAATGTGCTTCTTACATAACTTCGTGGATTCAGGCTGGCATGGAATTCTTTATTCCCTCTCAACGATTCCAGGTCAAGCCTCACTTTTCTCCATGGTTTTCCTCACATTGTGTTGCTGCAATTGCCAATCAAAACCATTACTTCCATATCTATCAGCAAAACAATTCTCCAGAAAACAGACGTCTGTTTGTTACTGCTAGGAACCATTGTAAAAAGGTTTCGTCTAACGCCAAAGCCCGCTATTCTCAGACCATGAAATCTCATATTTCATCACAAAAATTAGGCTCTCGTGACATCTGGAGAATCTTTAATAGTATCAATAATAAGGGCAAGTCTGTAATTCCACCTCTTTTGTATGGTTCAGACTTTGTCACCTCACCTTAAGACAAAGCTGAATTGTTTGCGAAGAACTTTTCATCAATATCATCTCTTGATTCCACTAGTTGCGTTCTACCTGATATAGCCGTCAAACAGGTTGATCCATTAACTGACATCTGTATCACTCCAGCTTCTGTATCTAAAGTGATTTCCTGCTTAGACTCTTCTACAGCTTGCGGCCCGGACAACATACCCGTTATAGTCTTGCAGAAGTGTTCTCCAAAGCTGTTGTCTATCCTTTCAAAACTATTTAACAAGTGCTTATCAGAGTCTTGTTTTCCAGCCTGCTGGAAAGCAGCATCTGTTATCCCTATTTTTAAAAATTCTGAGAGCGATCCAATTTGTCTAACTGCCGTCCCATTAGTCTTCTT